CGATCTCCAGTAGGGGGTGTGCAGGAGGCAACTAATCAATGATTCTCTCATCATTGATGTTTCTATCTCTCCCTTCCTCTCTGAAATAATAATAAAAAATATGTATTAGAAATAATAAAAATATGTATTATACATACACACAGTATATACACACACACACACACATATATATACACATACACCTACTAGTATATGTTTTTAAAAGACTACAGACAAATTGAAAGGAAAAAGGTTTTACTCTTAATTTCCTTCTTAAATACCCATAGTTACTTACCTGTTGGGCATGGCACAACTTCCCTCATCACTCACACACCGGCACCCCCCACTTCTGGTCCCGCATTGATGGGCTGTGTACTGCTTTCTAACCACAGCAGCTGCTGTGCACCCAGCTTCACAGAGGCAGGCCGTGGCAGGAGCCCCGTGCGACCTGCTGTTGGAACTCCGCACTGATCTGGACCAGTGGTTTGTGCCGCCTCTGACGGGTGTGCAGTATTCCTGTGATTTTCTTGAAAGTCTGAAATACCCTGCAGTGTCCCTGGGTGTTTGCTCTGGTGTTCCAGGGCACGTGGGTGCGCAGTTTGGGAACCACACCGTAATCTTACATCTCGATCGTGAGCGAGAGACTGGAGATGACTTGCCTCCTGGTCTGGGCAGTGACCCAGGTCAGTTGTCAGATGGCACGGCTGGGTGCCCCGCCGTGTAAACTCTCCCTCCCTTGTCACAGCACCCGTGTTTATAGCTGCATTTCCCTCAGTCATCCTTGCTGAGTCCAGCATCCTGCATTTTATAGCCAGTTGTTCGCTTTTGTGTGCAAGTGGGTGACACAGTTCTTACCGAGTCTCCGGTGTGGAGCTGATGCTTTACATAAACCGTGTTCACCTCAAGCATGCAGGGCCAGGGATGCTCAGGCAGCATGACTGAGCGAGTCTAGAAGGTGTGGGCTGGTTCCCTGGGAGCGGAATCACACAACAACATAAATAGTGTGTGGAAGTGACAAGTCGGTCAGTCCACGGAGGTCACCAAGTCCCCGCCGTGATGTGGGAACCTCTGTGCCTGAGGACGTTAGAGAGCAGTGAGGCCGACCTTACCTGCATCACCTCTTTCTATTGCAAGTGACCGATGCTGAAGCCAAGGGCGGAGGGGCTGGTTCTTCTGACAGAACTGGCCCGTGTAATTGGCCCATGTGATCTGGGAGCAGCCTGGTGTTCAGACTTGGGTTTCTACATACCATTTGCAGGTAAAGGAGACAGACCTGCTTGGAGAAATGGCTGATTCCAGAACCAGAGCCGAGGAACTGGGAGGTGGGCCTGGGACAACTTGGTTGCAGGAAAGAGAGTCATGTCCAGAGGACACTGGGCGTGGTTTGAAGGCACCCCCAGTGGTCAGATTTGGGACAGTCTGAACATCAAACAGAATGATGGCAATTGATTGTTGTTACACAAGAAAAAAAAGTGCATGGAGGAGCAGAAAGGCGGAGATGGAATGAAAGAATTAGAGAAAGCACTATTTTGCAGTCCCAAAATGGAATAATGGAGGCAACAATTATCAACGAATGCTAGAAGTCCATGATGAAAAATAATTGGGAAATAGGACAGCCACATGGTTCCAAATTCTCACCCCAGGTTTTTTTTTTTTTTGGGGGGGGGTTGGTTTCTTTTTACTGATGTAAAGGGGGACAAGTACCTTTACAACAGAGAGATGTGGCAGTATCCATCTAAACCAGTGGTTCTCAACCTTCTGGCCCTTTAAATACAGTTCCTCATGTTGTGACCCAACCATAAAATTATTTTCGTTGCTACTTCATAATTGTAATGCTGCTACTGTTATGAATCGTCATGTAAATATCTGATATGCAGGATGGTCTTAGGCGACCCCTGTGAAAGGGTCGTTCCGCCACCAAAGGGGTCGCGACCCACAGGTTGAGAACCACTGGTCTAAACCAAGTGATCAAGCTTACCATCAGTAATAGCGGGATAGCATAATATTCCGTGTGCTCTGATGTGATGAAAGAGAAAGTTCACAGCATGAGAGTATTTTTGCCAAAAAGTGTGTAACTTGTGTCTAGACTTAGCTTTTGGTTCACAGGAAATACATGGGATGGACGAACAGACTTCAATAATAAGACTGACGGAGTACGTCGATTAAGGGGTGATCAAATTTGAGGAGTGCCTGGAAAAGCGGGAGTGTACAGTGACCTTTGTCAAACCCAGCAAATATTTGTGGGACGCAGTGGGATCGAACTAGTTAAGGGGTGAGTCAGGCGAAGACTGGTTCTAGACAGAAGGGAAGGCCTGTTTTAAAATCCGCTTCTACGCCTGCATAACGGCCACATTTCACAGAATATACAGTATTTTACTTTCAGCGGTAATACTTGCTTTCTGAATTCAGGGCCAGAGCGCTGGGTGGAAGTCCCGGCCGTCTTTCCCACACGGGGGACCTCTGACTTGGGCGCGGGCTCTTCGGGAGGGACGGGTGCAATTTTGTTCTGCTCCTGGGTGAGCGATGAGTCGGGCACTTAATTATGTCAAAAGAGCAGTTACAGAAGCCGCAGGAGAGTCATTATTGTCCGTCTTGGCTGAATGCGAGGCTTTTAATCTGTAAAGAAGTGTCTCTGTGCGGCAGGGCTGCATGCAGAGCCACGCCGTGTCCTCACGGTCTCCCCGGGATGTTCAGGGTGAACGCAGGCCCTGCGTCTGCCACGGCTGCTGCTTCCCTGTGGCTCTAGCCCCTGCGGCCTCAGCATCTGAGGGGGGTTCCTGTTAAAGGGTAGCAGTCCGTGTCTGAGTTCAGCCCCTGGAAAAATCTGGATGTTTCAAGTGGAGAGGAAGTAAAATGAGCCTCTTGAGAATTCAAGGACAAACCAAGGTGAGACACAAAACAACCACAGAAAACATCCACAGCGCTGAAAGGAGAGAAACGCGGCCGCAGGCATAGCTCAGGGGCCTCTTACGTTCTGGAGGTGGATGATTTTATGTCACGTGCCCCATGGCGGGTGATATTTCCAACAGGACGCGCTCACTGAGGGGCGTGTGCACTTGCTTGGGTGGGTCGGTGTTTTTGACAATGACACCGAGTTCTGTTGGTGTTTGCAGCGTCCTTGGCGTCTGCCTGCCCCTGGCACCCCAGGGCTGTTGATGAGCCGCGTGGGCTCTTGTCCAGGCTCAGCTTTTCCACACAAAAAAGAAACTCTGTTCCCTGTAATTGGCCCGTGTGATCTGGGAGCAGCCTCGTGGCCATTCAAGGGCTTCATTGGGGTGACTGTCCCTCTCTCGTGCGTGACTAGCTTTCCCCGCTCTATCATGATATTACCATCAAAATAGGGTTATGTTGAGCAGCTCCATTGTGTTTGAAAAGTCTTCTCTCTTTCTCTCTCTCTCACTACCTCCCCAGTCCTCTGTTTCCTTTTGCAGCAAAATGGGAGAGTCTGTATTTTATCTTCACCTTTTCTCTTCCCGTTGTTTCTTGAACCTGCCGCCATCCACTGTTCATCCCAATCCCCACGTGGCCCCTGCTTTGTCTCGGCGGACGCGGGGCCTTCACACTGCCGGCTCTGTGCACAGCGCTGGGCCGAATCTTCCCTGACCGTCAGCGGCTGCTGACCCAGCTCACCACCCCTCCTTCCTGGCTACACGCTCTTTCCTTGCTTCAGGGCAGAGCTGTTGCCTGGGCTGTTCTCCTCTCTCCCTGGTCGCTCTGCTCACCCTGGTGGGTTCCTCCTCGTCTCCTGGCCTCCTAAGCTTCCCTGGCCCCAGGCCCTCTCCTCTCCTCCCCTCTGCCTTCTCCCTGGTGATGTCAGACAGCATCATGGTGAAAACCACAGTTGTGTATACTCTGTGTGTGGAGTGCACACCTGTACCCCGGACTCCAGACTCGTCCACTTCCTATGGGATGATGAACAGGCATCTCACCTCCAGTGCAGCCAGATGTAACACCTGTCCCCCCTGGGCCTCTCTCACCCGGATCATTGCAGTAGCCTCCTATCAGGCTTGCCTGTCTCCATCCTTGATCAAGCCCCTTCTACTCTACATGCAAGTCAGCCTGAAAGACCCTTTAAAAATATCAGATTGCGTCCCTCCCCGGCTCCCAGGCCTCCTGTCTCAGTCGGAGTGCCGACCTGTCCAACAGGGTCCTTCATTCTCCATCCCATTTCCCTCTGCGCACCTTCCCCCTCTGCTCGTCACGCAGTGCCCGGGCCATGTCGCCCCTTCCTCAGACAGCCTCAGTCACTGCTGCTGCGGGGCCTGGGTAGAGGCTGCGTTAGGCAGGAGGCACTGTCCTGGATTCTTCGTGGCCTGCGCCTCACCACCTCCGGTCCCTGCTTACCTGTCCTCTTCTCTCTGACACCTCCCTTCTCCAACCACCCCATTGAAGCTCACTCCCACCACCCTGATCAGCCCTCCCAAATCCTCCTCCTGGCTTTATTTTTATTATTTTTATAAAATATATTTTCATTGATTTCAGCGAGGAAGGGAGAGGGAGAGATAGAAACATCAGTGATGAGAGAGAATCATCAATCAGTTGCCTCTTGCACGCCCCCTGCTGGGGAGCAAGCCACAATCTGGCGGGCGTGCCTCTTGCACGCCCCCTACTGGGGAGCAAGCCACAATCCCGCGGGCATGTGCCCTTGACCTGGAATTGAACCATGACCTCCTGGTTCAGAGGTTGACACTCAACCACTGAGCTACGTGGGCTGGGCCCGGCTTTATTTTTTTCTACTGCGCTTAGCACCACATGAAAATAATACTAACGTTTTTGTTGCCGGGTTTGTTCTTGTCTGTCTTCGTAGAACATGAGGACAGACATCTCGTCTGCCTTGGTCACAGCATGTCCCCGGGGCCCGGGACGGGTGGCTGCTGGGTAAATCCTGCTGCAGGGCCATTGAGCAGCAGCTTCAGACTGAGGGCTTCCTCCCGGTTGCTTTTTACGGCGTTCCGGGTGCGACCGAGAACAGGCAGCATGGGCACATGTGACACATAATAATAGCTGTTTCTGTCCCTCAGTTTCTCTGTTTGAAGAACATCCGGACCTTCCTCACGGCCTGTTGCGAGACATTTGGAATGAGGAAGAGCGAGCTCTTCGAGGCCTTCGACCTGTTCGATGTCCGGGACTTTGGAAAGGTAATGCTGCATTTTATTTTTTCATGTATTTTCTTTTTAAATTGGAGAACCTTTAAGCAAATACTTGTTTCTTGTTGAAATAGGACATGTGACTTAAGAGGCCTACATGTTTCAGGACCAGTACCGCTTCCCTCCAGTTCTCTCTCTACCCCAAAGACTCCGCAGTTTTGGGAGCTGGGGATGTTCGGTTGCCTCTCTCTGTTTTGACTTGAGGAGGTGACTTGGGGAGGACACGAATCACTGAGATGTTTGAGATGGTTAAATAGCTCCTTCACTAATAGCTATTTCCAAGGACATGTGTTACAGGGAACGTTTTCATGTTATGGTTCCTGTGTGTGCCCCCCACACCTGTGTGTACGAGGTGACTGGAATCACCCTTTCAGAAGTGATGGTCACTTATTCTGTGGTCTTTGGGCATAAAGTTAAACTTCTTACGTGTCGGTCACAGGAACACTCCCCCCACCCAAGGCTCCTCAGCTTGGCTTGCGGTGGGTGCAGGTGGCCTCGGGGGCCTCCCTGGGTCTGGCTAGAAAGATCCTCATTGGCGAGTGCCTGCCATGGATCAGCCACTAACACATGTCCCGTCTATTTTTACTGCCCAGGATGAAGCGTTTGACATGTAAATCTCTTTTTATAATTTTCTGTTTGAACTCCCACTCTTATTCGAAATTTGATGTTTCTTCCTCGAAGTATTTTCCGTCCTGAATTATTCAAGAGCCTCCGGGGTGTTTGTGGCCCACGGGGCCCTAATTAGCCTCACTTCCAGCACCGTGTGGCACTCCCTCTCCAGCCCAGGTCTGCCGCCGGTGAAGATGGGTATTGTTAACCGGCTGCCTCCTGCACACCCCCTGCTGGGATCGAGCCTACAGCCCAGACATGTGCCCTTGACCGGAGTCGAACCCAGGACCCTTTCGTCCACTGGCCGATGCTCTATCCACTGAGTCAAACCGGCTAGGGCGGGGTCTCCTCATTCGACCTCTATGGAGGTACCGACTCCCACTGTCCGAGCAGCACTGGGGACCTCTGGTCTCCTTCCTCCCAGAAGGCCCGCAGTTTCCTGCTCATCAGCCAGCTGCCAGCCTGCAGCCGGCCCAGCCCACCAGGGTCCCCAGGAGACCACCTCTGTCTGCCCACAAAGGCCGCCTTCACGCCTCCCTGTCTGACAGCCGGGGGCTTGCCTGTATTTACATAACTAAGCTCTCCAGTGATTCCCTCCGGACAAAGAAAGCTTGGTCCAGGGCCTCCTTTGTGTCTGTTTGGGTGGAGAAGGGGCAACAGCCCCTGGCCTTCCCCAATGTGGGGTCTGAATGGGGGGGTCTGGTCGGCTAGCGCCACTGTGGCATCTTTAGCAGGATCCTCCTTTGTTTTTGCACAGAGCGACCTTTTGAGGAGCCTCTCCATCTCTTTCACTGTCTTTGCTGGTATATTTCACCCGGGCGGTTAACACCAGGCAGATTTTCCCATTCTCACCGCGTCTTACAGAGCCCTCGTGCCCGGGCCATGCACGGGTCATTCTTCACACTCTAGTGATTATTCAAGTGCATGTTGGGTCTGCTTTCTAGTAGTTTTTGAGCCAGTTCACAAAACCCTTCACTGTTTTCGAACCTTAATACAGTTGAAAACTTCTACAAGGGCATTGCCCAAGGAACCCCATTGTCTTGAGAAATGTGAATGGGTAGCTTCGGAAAAAACACCCTTGTTCACATGAGCTGGGTAAACACTGCAGGCCATGTCCTCCCTCTGTGAGAGGGGTCTGGCACACTAAAGGCACTGATAAGTCCTGCTTATGAGACTGAAGCAATGTGGTTGCAAACTATGCAGACCTTTCCCAGCGCAGCGGCAAGAGGGCCCAGAGTGAGCTCTCATTAGGGCTGGATATGACCTGTGAAAGGTGAGAGAAAACAAGAGGAAATAACGGAGCAGGTGCAACTTAGCGCCTTTCCCCCCCTTTTAAATGAATATAAGAAAAATCTAACGGCATTTACACTCACTTTCTGTAGATCTATTTTGCAACCCAGTCAGTATTTCGTGTTTCATTTTTTTTGAAGGTTTTCACTATATTTGTCCATTCTTCATTTTCCCTGTGTTTCATTTTTGGTGTTTTTGGCACTTGCTGATTATCAGGTGGAGACTTGGTCTCTCTGGAACACTTCAACCTTTTTTGGGTGTGTGTGTGAGAGATTATTTCTTATAAAAATGGAAATATTTGTTGTTTTGTACTAGGAAACTTTCTAGGAATAGGTTTCTGTGTTTCTGAGGTTACAGCAAATACATGCTGCTTATTAGTACATGCGTCCTTCTTCCATCTCAGCTGTGCTCACAGACCCTCAGCCCTGTCCTAGCCCTTTCAGTGTAGTTTATCCAGGGCGCACACATACGGAGCTCACGGAGTCTAATCTGCCGCCATCAGTGGTGAAGGTGATGGCTGGGAGTCCCCGGGGCTTGGTTAACTCTGTTAGGTGGCATTACAGTGGCCCACGCCTCGTCTGTCCCCGCAGCGTGATGCAGACCCTCGGCCTTCAGGCCTTCAGCTGTTGTGCGTGTGTGTTTCCTGTCAGCGGGCTCCTGTGGAGAAGGAGGGCGGTGTTTTCCGCGTTTATTCTCCCGGTTATCTTCTGAGCGGCTGTGCACATCTGTGGGCCCGGGAGGCCTGGCGCTGGCCCGGGGGCAGAACGGAGCGGGGGTGGGACTGGTGCATGCGTCCTCTGCGCAGGGCGGCAGGAAGTCAGCTCAGGCGCGTTCTGACCACCAAACAGCTGCAGGAAGCAATTCTTGAAGCAGCTGCAGCGGTGGGTCAGCCACGCACGCTTCCTCCGGAGAGCCGCCAGCTCTGAGTCACTTGTTTTCCACCTGAGCACCGGTCTTCGGAGGATTGCAGTGGAGACATGTGGGTTGACTCTGGACCTTTCGCTGCTTAGACGGCCCCTGGGGCTTGGAAGGTCCCGCTGAATCAGTGTGTCTGAGGACGAGAGGTGCCAGGACCAGCTGGGGGCCGGGGCCGTCAGAATCATTGGGTTAGAATGAATGGATGGCATTTGCATCTCCCAGGTGTTCTCCTGGGAACTGTGTGCGCCCAGTTGCACGCTCAGTGTGCTGGGTGACCCCGGCATCCGCTTTACCTTGCTGGTCTCCTCCGGGGTTTCTGTGTAAAGGAGCTGAGGGGTGATGCTTGCTGCTCTGAGTGGGCAGGTGTCTTATAGATTGCTTCCACTCTGTAGCCGCCTCTCATAATGCATCTTAGGATGACCACCCTAGCGTGGTTGTATTGTGGTATGGGAGGGTAGAGTCCACCATTGTTCCTGGTCAAGTCTAGGTTAGTTTTTTTGTGTGTGTTAATCCTCACCAGAGGATATTTTTCCATTGATTTTTTAGAAAAATATATTTTATTGATTTTTTACAGAGAGGAAGGGAGTGGGATAGAGAGTTAGAAACATCGATGAGAGAGAAACATCAATCAGCTGCCTCCTGCACATCTCCTACTGGGGATGTGCCCGCAACCAAGATACATGCCCTTGACCAGAATCGAACCTGGGACCCTTGAGTCCGCAGGCTGACGCTCCATCCACTGAGCCAAACCGGTTAGGGCTCCATTGATTTTTTAAGAGAGAGTGGAAGGGAGGGGGAGAGACAGAGAGAAACATCGATGTGAGGGAGACACATCCATTGGTTGCCTCCCACATATGCCCTGATCACGCCACAGACAGAACCTGCCGCCCAGGTGCATTCCCTTGACGAGGAATCCAGCCCATGGCCCTATGTGCCTGGGTTGAAGCTCTGACCACTGAGGAGCTCGCCAGGGCCGATACAGGATACTTTGTAATGGGTTTCAAAAAT